GTTACACACTGGACATTTAAAACAAAAGGGGAAGCAGTCACTATCCCTACTAGCAGGACTGGAGAGGAAAACAAGGGCCTCCGCTTGTCCGAGGCCAAAAGGTCCACAGGAAACCCAACTGACCTGAAGCAGACCTCGGCCTCCACACAGAAGAATGAGAGCTCCTAATTTAATTCTTCTGATATAATTTCCACATGCATACAATTCCTGCACAAAGAGAGATAATAAGTGCCAGCAGTGTGTGATATTCACACATTTGCCACTGGATATCATTTTCAAAATGTGTGACTCCATCTAAATGTTAGTATCAGACAGCTTTAAAATCTAACACATACATTAGACTCTTTGTTTGGATAAGGAATAGCACCATAAACCCCCTTGAATGAGGTGATCATTTTTGGTAAGACCTATCAAAATACACAATGCATTTATCAGTGTTGATATGGTTGAAATCTATTATCATGTCAAACAATATAATAAATCACAAAATTACAGTGTAAACCCAGAAAGCAGTGTTTTATTTACAGCGTTCAGTCACTGCAGCAGAACATTCAGCTTTTCCAGGCAGACGGACACAGTGACAGAACCAACAGCAAGACAAAGTGGCATTTCCCTGCTGCCCCGCTGGTTTCACATCACAGATTGATCTGGTAGAATAATGGGTCTCAACATTTTTGACTGACAACCATTTAAAATGAAACAATGTCTACTTGAGACTCTTTATCACTGCTGACATATGACAGAGACCTGAAACACAAAAAAAGTAAAGAATAGAGGAATGTGTATGTAGGATAAAAACATCTTTCTACTTCCATATCACACAATTATGTTGCAGTTTTGTTGGTGGGGGCACAAACTTCCATGTTGGGAACCACTAAGATAAAACATGCACGCACCCACTGTAATTCATTAGCATCTAACAGTTGGTGTGATGCACATGAAGTAAGATTAGATCTTATTTTTTGGAACGCTTGAACACTGATGTGAGAAAGCTCTTCGTAGTTCAGAAATGTGACGTTTTAACAGTTCATTTGGCATATTTGATCTGCTAATCCCATTAATGTGGTATGCAAAGATATTACATGTGAATGACAAATGCAGGATTTTTAGTCATCAAAGGGAACAGGGGGTGATTTCTTAGCGTTACTGGCAACGCTGGCAATACTTGTGATTCTTTATATAACAAAAGAGATATCATTGCGTAAGTGGGTTAAATGAGTCAGTGATGCTGAGCTAAGCAGGGAAGAGGTTGGTGACTAACGCTGCTGTGGTAAGGCCGTGTCCTTTTGACAGAGACCAGTGTCACACATACGCACATTTACGCATGTTGTACATAATCTACACATACACACACACACAGATATAGACAGATGCCATTTCTGAAGCATGTTGTTGTATTTTAAATGGTTCTTTCTGATTCTTTCCTTCCAGGTAACTCATTTGCATTCTATATGAAAATCAACTTTCAGAGAATTGAACCATCACACTGTTCATCATCCTCATGGGGAAGAAATCTGACTACAAATCAAACTGTGCATGAAATATGCATTATCAAGTAGCAACACGTGTGCATGGATGCACATGTTTGAAAAGGCAGCAGAAAAAGAAAAGGAAATGTAAAATGAAAACATTATTCTAGTAACACACACTCTTTTGTTCTTCCTTTTCTCAGTGATCCAGAGAAAGTGTCTGTTGTCTCCCTCTGTTCTCTTCCTCACACTGATAATGAGTAACTGTTCAGTGTCTACAAGAGCCCCCTCAGACATCTACTCAGTGAATAAGTGTGTGTGTGTGCACGAGGCAGGGAGTGTTGTACTGTCAGTACAGAAAAGGCTCTGGTTGCACTTGGCAGACAATGGATGGACGGAAAATGAATCTCAGTTTAAACCGAGAATTAAACAAGAAGAGAAAATGAAGAAACTAATATTTGAGTGCATTGTGTGTGTTATGTTCTTGGTAACCAGCAGAGAGCAGTGTGGAGACATGGAAGCTCAACTACTTCTACATCGCTATGTTTCAGAGGCAAATATTGTTCTTTTTACTCCACTACTAATGTGTTTGTAAGATATGGTAGCTACTTTCTTCTGACTTTTCAGATTAAGCATGCCTTCCAAGCATACAATTTGTATATTTGTAATACCTGTCTGGAGCTGTACAAATACACCATTATAAGTAAAAGTCTCAAATTCAAAATGTTACTTAAGTAAAATCATTAGCAAAACGTAAAAGTATGCATTATTGTAGAATATTATATTTTTCAGATTTTATCACTAATAATACATGTAAGAGCATTTTAATGTTGTAGTTTGTCCAGGTGCTTGAAAGTTGCCTGTCATTACCTGTGGAGGTGGGCTGCCGAGGATGTGCAGAGAATTCACTCTGCAAAGCATTTACACCACTGGGCATCACCGGGGAGGCAAAGAGGAAGGCCATCAGATCTGCTATTGAAGCTGCAGAGAAAGCCACTAGGTGGCTGTAGATCAAGAGGGCAGATCCGTGGGGTGAAGGCTGCTGGCACACAAGCTGGGCTCTGATCTGACCCTGGCTGGGTTTGCCTGGGCGAAGGTGTCTGATGTTGAAAGACTCAAAACACCTGATGACACCAGGTGCTATGACTGATGATGTGTCCCAGCGCATCTGCAGGATGTATCTTTTATCTAGTGGTGTAAAAAGTACAACATTTCTCTCTGAAATGTCCTGGAGTAGAAGTGTAAAGATAGGATAAGAATGTACAGTATGTCCAAACTGTAATTATATACAGTACTTGAGTAAATATTATTCCGTCATTGTGCATCAGTACAAATAATCCAAT